GCGCTTACTTTTCTTACAGTTCAACTATTTTTTTATTTGCTACTGAACCATTTTTAAACTAAATCTTTTGATATCGCCTTCGATATATGTTTGCTTTAATAATAAATTCTAAAGAAAATATACTAACAATTACATACAAACTATTCAATCAATGAAATGAATCTGAATAGCCTATAGTATTTTTTATCTCTGAAAATCTTTTCTTTCTCATTAAATTAAACATAAATGACTTATATACGATTAAAACTACAATAATTTTCTGTCGAATGACGATTAAACTCTATCGAAATACTAACAATTCAGATTTCACGTCAATTGCTATGGGTAGAACTGAACTTCTTCATTATTAAATCAACTTGAATATATTATATACTAAAGATTAGTAATGTTTATTGATATTCAATATCAGAAACATCTTTCAGCGTCAGTTCCAACAACATAGGAGTCCAGATATGAGTGAGCAAAAAAAAAACTGCACATTTTCACAATCACATCTCACACTTCGATATACCATGATAAACAATATGTGGCAGATGCATCAGATCGAGTAAAATTATATGAAAGGTAGACCAAAGATACCAACAAAATAAATAGATCTTTAAACTAAATTATAGACAATAAATATCATTTTTATTTTAACAATTTTCTAAATCTATTTTTATTGAATTGTGAATATAGAATAAGTTTCTCTTTACCAATATTCATACCTTTATCATAAGTAGTCGATTGAAATATACAGTTTTGTAAAGAATGAGAAGAGCTATCATCTGGAAAAATTGGTTGAAATTGTGTCCATAGTTTTGAAAAGTTATGATCATTTTATTCATGATGACTAAATATTTCATATTTTACGCTTTTGTTTTTTACAAAAACAAAATATGGTTGCAACATGTACCACGAAATATCGTTTTTTAGATATTTTTATATGAGTCAGTAGAGTGAAATGAGCTATACAGGGTTATGGCTATCGAAAAAATGCCAATGCGCTGCTTCCAATACAAAATTTAGAAGAACTAATAATAATTTCAACATAACTAACATTAGAGAGCATGCGTTAACTATGAATAACTTGAACTGACAGACTAGTCCGTCTGTTTATCATGAAGCTTGAAATGGTTATTTCCAGTAGCACTATGCGATACTACATTTTGAAACATAAATAAACAGTCGATTAGCTAGAATTATTGAAAGTCAAACGTATTCTTTATTTGCAAAAAAAAAAAGTATTACAGATCTTTCTGATATCTTCAAAGTTTAGTGTCGAAAAGAGGATAAGAATTTTTCTTTTAAAATTCAATATCCTTTAATAATTCCAACATTAAAGAATTTGTGTTTATCATTGAAGAAAATGTAAGTTATGAAATGTTTAACCATCATAAATAAAATGATCATAACTTTTCATTCTTTACAAAATTATATATTTTAATCAACACGTATTAATATATTTGATATAGATAATGTTAATTTATAAAGAGAAACATACACACTTTCGACACACTCTAATCAAGTCATCGTCAGACAGAAATAACAACATTCTACAATAAATTATAAGATAAGAGATAGACACATTTTATTATTTTGTTTACAATTTTGTACTAAGTTCATTGCCATTTAAATCGATTTTATATCTTAATAATAACAGAGAGATTGACTAATAATAATTATTAGTGCTATGATGAATGGATGATCTTCATTACAATCAATTTCTGCTTCATAGGTGTCAGCCATAGTATCATATTTTCGGCTTACAGTTGCCACTACATGCCCTTCTTTTATCAATGTGAATAAGCAACCGAACAAATCCAGTGCTTCTAATTTATATTCACCATAGATTGAATCGACGGAAAATATTTCATGCAATGAAAATTTCTTCTTAACTAATGCCAATTGGCGATCCACATCACCATTACGTGTTGACAATATTTTGTATGTTGGATTTACATGAAGTAATTCTTTCTCAATCCTTACCAGAGCTCTAAAAGTAGACATTCTGGACTTTTAGACACAACCTAAGGCAAAAGAGATAATAAGACTACTGATGAGATATTAAATTTTTATATCTACAGGCTTCTCAAAGATAACCTTGATTACTTGGTGATATTCAAAGGAATCAAATAGTTTTTCTATTTGCGAGAAAAAATCCATCGTTACCTTCCATTAATAGACAATGTCTCTGCAACTATTGGAACGAACTACATGAAATAGGTTTTCATAGAAAGGAATAGTTTAGAAGATAACATAGAACTAATGCATAAACTTACTTTCCAGTTATATCTTCCAAAACAATATTGTCACCAATGGTTAATAATTTTGATCGAGCGGTGAAAACATCTTGATCAGATTCATCTTTGACTTTGTAATTATCATGCAACGAAAATATCTTCTCATGAATTTCATAACGACGAGTAGATTTTGTATCATCTAGATAATTGGTCATTAAATATTCACGAGCCATGATTCAAAATATGCGGCAGCAATAAAAATTGAGAAATCACAAACATTTACTATTGTAATAGTCTTTGAACTGGATGTCTATGCGAAATATGAAAATCACTTTATAACATGTATAATATCTGACTTATTTTTTGTTGTTGTTGTTCTTCGGTAAGTAACATTGACACTGAGGCATTATTTTCAAACTTACAGAACAAAATCAAGAAAGAAAAACAAAATATCACGAAATTGATCTCTTCATGTTTTATTTCTGTTTGCATATCCGTTTGGTTTATCGACAATGAGTCATGTTGGTAGATCAAATTCATATGCAATACTACAAGTTAAGCATGAACAAGGATAAACTTGTTGTCAATAAATATACTGTAGTATATCCTTTTTTCTTTCTTTCTTATTACTTTCGAAAGCCAACATTGATACTACAATTTTATTTTCAAAAGCATAAATAGGTCTTATAAATAGTATATAAATCAAAGTGAATCATTGTTTGCAAAGCTTACTATTGAAGACGTTTTGTCATAGATGTTCTAATTTCCTATATGCAGTTGAAAAATGTCATCGAAAAATAGTTTGTCATACTTGTATATATTATTCGATAGAGGAAAGAACAATCTTCCATTTAATGAATAGGTCAAGTTAAAGGAGTAAAAAATTTAAACTGATTTAGATCTAACCAAAATTAAATTAGATTTATTCTAAGAAATTATTAAAACTTCTTTAAATCACTTTTGGTCAATTGTAATACATTTTAAACTAACACTAGTAAAATTTTAATTACTTAAATCAATTAAAATTCAATTTCAATGGATTAAAATCGATTTGAATCATTTTGATCAAGATAAAAGATATTCAATGATTTCAGTCCAATAAAATGGATGTAAACACCATTAAAACTAATTCAATTCGAAAAGAATATGACCTTGCGAAACCTATTGTTTGAGAATATATAAGTTCAGATACTCTCTCATGTATTCTAACTTACTGTAATATATTCGTCAATTCTAGAATAAAATCTAGAACTTGCAGAACTGCTACTCTTATATATAGCTTCGCATACTAAGATTCATTCTCTCTCCATCCACACATTTGTATTTGTATTTTCATATCTCTAGACTCACTAAATCAAACATTGACTTCACTGCCATATTATTGAGAAATTTTCTTGCTTGTTTTTTAAGTTTTGGAAAAAATGCGTTGCTACTTGAATTATAATTGAATAGAACATTTAGTGTCATTATTTCAAACGAGTTTAAAATGTTTGTCAGAAGCATATCTCTCTGGAATCACTCATTCCTATATGTATGAGTATAAATATATTTTAATTATTCTAATTGAAATTTAAATAGATTCAAATAAGTTTTATAAAATACAAATGACTTAAGTCATGTATTGATGCTTTAATTAAATCAAGTATGGGTTCAAAGAATGTGATTTTAGATTTAATCAAATTTCAATTTACTCTAATCTAATGAAAATTAGTTAAAATTATTTACAATTAGTTTAGGTCAACTTTACTGAAATCTGAAGTAACTCAAATACATTTTAAATCAAATAAATCTGTTTAAATTCCTTTTTTTAAACCTATTCGGATCAATCGAGATAAATCTTCAATGAATGTGACCTAATATCAGTTTTCTAAAGTCGAAAAACTATGCTTTAAAAAAACTCTATATTTACTTGTTGTAAAAATTTGTATAGTCAGCTTTTCGATAACACGGCAGTATTGTAGCGTTATTGTAGAAATAAAAATAAAGCAATATGCAGCCGATATATATATACCACCAAAACAGGATAATTATTGAGTATAAATGCCTATATTTGAATCAATAACGAATGACATTCAGATCAAATATTGCTTACTATATGCACTGTACTGCATAATCCACCTTTTTTTTTAATTTTGCACGCGTTGAATGGAATCGACGAAATATTTTAATTTCACTGGCCATTATTTCTCGTGCATAAGCATGATTTTCGTCAAATTCGATGTCAAACAACATTTTCACACATGATCTCAGACTATTTATTGAGCATTCACAACTACAAATGCTTCTCTTTCTGAAGAATCTAACGAAAAAATTACATCAATCCAAAGAACATAACAAGCTAAATCAAATATATCATTTTTTTTTGGAAGACGTGCTCATAAAACCCCGGTGAAGATTTTTAAAAAATATTATTTTCCACTAGAAGCGGTAAACATCTTTCTTTTTTTTTCATCATTTCTTCATGACTCATCTAGATTTTTTTTTCTTTCTTCAGTTTTTATATGTCCTTGACGCATATACAAATGTATTAGCTGGTACATATATTATATGTCTAGTGCATAGTAAAGAAAAAATGATTTTCTTTATTGATTAAACGGGTCGATTTCTATTATTGTTACATGTACTTCTATTGAAATTAATTATTAATAAACCTCATGTATGCAATTTCAATATTAATCAATTCAAATGTTGATACATACGAGCTCACACTCACACCCACATCGATATTGAGATTTTAGAGAAGACTAGAAAAACTATTGAACTTGAATGTTTCAAACATGGTGTTCGTTGATACGCTAGTTCGATAGTAACAATAATGACAAAAAAAATGAATGTTTTGAACTACTAAAGAAAATAAAACGACTAGCAACTAGTTAATCAATTACTTTTTTCAAATTAAAATCAGATGCAATTTTGTATAAGTGTTTTATTTTTATTCAAAAAAAAGTATTTTCTGAGTCAGTAATTGTTTCTCAATTAAATTAAGATACCATTCACACGAGCAATATGACAAAATTGTTCTCTTTTACTATTAGATTAGACTTATAATATTTGTACAAACTGATAAACTCGTATACATGCCCAACAGAACGATAAAAGAAAATGAAAAAAACAACAAAAATCAATGATTCAAAGAGAAAGGATAAAAAGCAGAATATTTCGATCAAAACTTCTAACCATTGGATGTGATTTAATAAAAGTGAGCATAGCCGATCAGAACCTATGGTATCGTCATCATCTTGTTTCTTTGATAATGAAATATTTTCTTAAGTATCATTAGCATCATAATCTGAGTTGTTTGCTGTGCAAAAAGAGTGTAAGAAAATTTTTCTATCACTGCATATTACTTGAACTCAATTATATGAAGTTCAGAGATATCGTCTGCTGTACTCATGAGACTGAAATAATTGCAATAAAGTGATTATTAGACTAAAAAATATTTATTTCATAGTAAAAGATAAAAAGCAGCTGAGAAAAAATATCAAGCGAACATGAAAAAGAAAGAAAAATCAACATTAAAGTAAGTATAGAACAGTAAGTAGTATAAAATATGAATTTTATGGGTGTGGGTGTGGAGTAGGTGTGGGTAGGTGTGTGTGGATGTGGGTGTATGGGGTGTGGGTGTGTTTCTTTGCTTTTTATACTCACACCCTCTACCGACAAAAAAGAGACGCTGGTTTCATGTGAAATGATTGCCATTTAAGGGACTACGAAGACTTTTCGTGAACTTAGTGGATTTTCTTCGATAGGTCGAATTTTTGTTATATTGTACGCTCTAAAAATGTAGTATTTTTGATTAGATTCATTTGAAGGATTGGGTCTTATGTGTGCATACCTTGAGAATTGTTTGTTCAATAATGTCTCCTAAAGTGGTAAAACAGCAATTATAATAAATTTTCTACTGAGAAAAATGCAAAAGAATTCGTATAGGCTTTTCCACAATTTCATATTGAATTGAACTATTGGAAGATCAATATCCATTTTACAAAATAGACCAAATAAACTATATAAAAATTTGAGAAATTATATTTTTCATATCATTATCCTAAGAAAACCTATATTGATATTTTGTGATTATTCAATTTAGTTTCGTTTAAATATTTTCTCAGTTCTCGAACTTTTGCAAAATATTTGATGCTAAATATTTCATACATATGCTCCAGTTAAAACCTCAGTGACTTTAGTGTTATCACATCAGTATATCAGGATCAATTGTTCACTGTCATAAAAAAAGACTAAAATTAAATGATGTAAGATAAACAATAATTTGAAAATAGCTAATACATTATTAAAATAATTTCATCATAGTTTGTAAAGTTCTTGTAACATTTCATATTGAAATGCGTCAATATGAAAAATGTTTGTTCTTCTCAAATGAAAAATAAACACATTAACGTCAGAGCTGTCGCGGATTTGGATATAGTTTTCGATAGAGAGAAAATACACACATATATCCACGTTCCATATTGTGGACTGAATAGTAATGATATTCCATTTTCTAGAAAATGTCCAGAATGTGAAATTGACATCGACATTCTCGAAATACTCATAGAATACGGTTGTGAATTTCGAATTTTCAAATGATAGTTTAGGTTATTGTCGGTATAACACGTGTAGTTGTTTGACGAATACGTCTTTTGAATACATGAAGAAGTTCTCGATCAACATAAAAAGTTGCTGATTTTTCAACAACCACTGTCAAAGATATGAAGACAATACCTATTGAATAAAATATTTCGATATGCGTAAAAATAAAGATTGCTGTTGGCGCACCACCTGATAGATAAATTCCGAATAGAATTATTAAATTACGAAATATTTTTAAATCTCGATTTTGTTGTCGTTGCATTCCACTTCTTTCGAAAGCTTGAACAGTACTTCGTTTAACTCTATAGTAAACATAGATATAAATGATAGCAATGAATGTAGTTGGTAAACCATAGTAGGCAACAAAAGTATACATGGTATGTAAAGGATACAGTCGACTGACGAAGCATAATGAATGAGCAACGAAAATTATATCTTTCGTCACAATAGCTGGTAAAGGTAGTAGAATCACTACGATCCATTGGATACAAATGAGAAAGCAATGAACTTTGAAAGTAACGAGCCATCGATATTTGTTAGCCAAAACAATGAAGAACAAGCGTGATATAGCTTGAAGCAAATAGGAATAGATGACGCCTGCGACAGTCATGTAGGCAAAATAGCCTCGCCATCGACATGACATATCATTTTTGTCCCATGGAATAAAGAGCAGATAAATAAAATGATTGGATTGAGCAATAGAAGAGGAAATTGACCAAATACAAGTATTTCCAATTAATAGACGAGTGACTGTATGTAATGGTCGATTCAACACTATCAATCCTAAGATAAGACTAGAAATAAAGACACCTAGAATAGCTAAACCGATTGAAATGGGAACAATGACAGAATAATCGGTATCATCGTTCGGTAGAAGTGTTGTTGCAACAATCGTCGAGTTCATTTCTTTTGCTAACAATAAAAACAAAAAATACCCATGAGAAGCTACTGTACTATTTTGACTTTATTTTCCTAACTTTATGATTTCAGTATAAAGAATTTGGTTTGAAGGATCACAATATATATGCAGAGTTTGATTCAACTGATTCAATCTATAAATATAAAGGTAGCACTCCGCACCATTCAAACGACGAGTTACACTTGGACAAAATTGTGATTTATTTTAATTTTTATTACTTCAAGAATCGTATACACATTCGGTTTGATTATTTGGAAAAACTGAACAGAAAACAAAGGAAAGTCATTGATGATTGACATGAGTTGCTTCTGTCTAAGTCGATTGATAAAAAGTTTCTCAATATTTACACATTAAATTGTAAAATCCATTAGTTTATTCATTCATGAACTAAAGGTTACATCGGTTTTCCTATCTTTTCTATCATCGAAGCAGATAATTACAATAATAGTTAAGACCTAGTTTCAACATCTCCATATGTAAATTGTGAAAAGGATTTGATGACATTGCCAAAAACATGTCTACATAGTTCAAAAGTTGTTAGAAAATTGGAAGCATTAATCTATTGATTGAACCTGATGATCTAATTTCTCTAGTTTCAATTGTTACTAATTGTAATGAGGCAGAATCGAGTATCAGATCCTAGCAAAAGATTTCTGCTGCCAAACTTCTATCATTTTTGCCAAATTTGACGGCAGGGAACGGATCGTACTAGAGTGTGGGTTCTATTGAAGAGAAGATCCACACCCACACTCTTCATAGTTTGTCTATAGAAACAAAAACTTGATAATGCTATGTATCATATAAAAAACACTTTTGAGTAAATACTTCTTGGATGCTTGACAAATGCTTCTTCTCAATCTCTGAAAAAAACAATTACTTGAAGAAAACTTATAATTATTATTAGAAGAAAATTGCTTTTTGTCAGATTATCTAGTTTTGTTTTTAAAACGAGAAGCTTAATTCTCATATTTTGAATAGCTATCAAACTAAATTTTTGGATGAATATATCTTTAAATATTATAATTAGCACAGGAATTTGAACAAAATTTTCTACTCGATTCGAAACATTAAATTTGCTAATGATACACCAAATGCCTTAAACTTTCTCTCATTTTAAAAGATTTTTTTCAGTAAAAATGTATAGTCTGAATTGAGTATGTTTATTCTTATACACACAGTAAACATATGCATTACTTACACCTAACCGTACATTGATTTTAACTATGAGCGAAAACTTCGGTTGATAGCTAACATTGGGAACTATTTTTAAAATGAGATGAAACACAAATGAACATATGAAAAGGAAAGATCGAGTAAATTATCAAAGAAAAGTGGAATAAAGTAATTTTTTCTTTTTCTTCGTGAGCTACATGGAAATACATACAGGAAAGTAGTGTCAAACTTGAAAGTTGAATCCAGCTATTGAATAGCTAACATAAATAGTTGAATTCAATTTTTAGATTTGACACGTATGAGAATACTACAACGCTATATTATCAAACGTTGATTAATTTTACTGTACGTTGAAGAACATCAACTTTAATTTATATGTGTCAAAGCTCAATATTATATTCAACTATTCAATTACTCAATCATTAAATACTCGATGTCAACAATTCAATAATTGAGTACTTAAAGTAAAGAGATTCCTTTATTGTATTGTTGAATATCTGAAACAAATCTTTAATAATTGAATTTAACTTTTAGATTTGGAATTACTTGACACATTGCGAACAAAATTTATTGTGTTGTTTTTGTGTACTCAAAAAGTGAGTACACTAGAATCGGTCAGTGTGTCCGTCCGGCCGGCCGTTAACACGATAACTTTTGAAAGGAGAGTCCGATCGCGATGAAATTTTCTACACAGTTTAGTCTTTACAATATCTCGGTCGAGTTCGAAGATGAGAATGATTGGCCGAGCCATTGCTGAGTTATTGCAAAAATAGTCATTTTTCCCTATGAGAAGATAGACCCTTCTCTGCTTTCATAAAAAACTTTTCCTATCATAGTCATATAAACCTCCAACTATTATATACCATCCGATAGAGAATTTCACGAGCTACAAAATGGTATATAAAACATAAAGAAACAACAAGGCTAGCTCACCTATTGCAGAGATAAACAAACGGAAATCGGTTCTGTTTTTGTCTGCGCTCTAATCGATCCACAATTCGAGCTCTATCTTCCGATCACAGAGATAATACTTCGAGGTTTTCTAGGATGAAGAACTCGAATCTGTAATCCACTTCACTCGAAGCCCCATTGGTTGAGCACTGACCAATAGAAACCAAATTATAGGAAAAACGAGTTTTTTAGGATAACTCAAGGCGAAGAGTCCAAATCTGAGCTGTGTTCACTCCGAAATCCTATTGGTTGAGTAGTAGCCAATAGAATTCAAATGTTTATAGAAAGGATTTGCCAGGCTAATTTTTATATCCGCACATTCTAGGATGACCGATTTGTCTCATTCACTTTTTGAAGTACACATAACTCTCGGATTTAAATCCGAGGTTTCCACATTTATTTTTTTATATGATTATATAATTTCGATCGATTGTTCTCTTCATAAAACATACAGATTTCTCTTAATTTTTCAGCAAGTTTCTCTACTTTTTGTTAAAATTTCATCTTAACAACAGATCTTGTTTATATGGTCTTTTGATATTTTGTAAAAGAGATTGATTTGAAAATAATTTCGTCTTATATAATAATGGAGAAAAAGACGTTTCGATGTCTCTTCTTTTGACTGGTAAAAGTCGCAGTTCTCTAGCTCTTTTCATTCTATAGTTATTGTAAAATTATCCGTGGTCATTCTTTTTAAACAAGCAATAATTATTTGTCTTAGGAATGGACTTGAATAAAATGATGATACAACATTCAACAGCCGAACAAGTAGTTACATATATCATGAAGAAATTCATCAACATATGCATTATTTTATGAACAACTTCACTAAATCAGATCATTCACTTATTTTAGATTTATAAACAGTTTTCTGTTTTTTTTCTCGCTATGAGTTCTTGTCGTATTGAAGTAGATGGCATTTTTTTACTTATTAGTTGTGATGATTTCTTTTATGACAGCGAATTTATTTCTCTCATCATCAAGATAACTACTGCTTGCTCTCTCTCTCCTTACTCGTTGTAGAATATTAACAGTAGTAAGAATCCCAATATTTTGATTAATATTACTCTTTGAATAGAGAAAACATCATTGGATTGCCATAATAATGGTATGAATACTCGAACACATTATAGAGATACGGTTTATTGACATTTTATCTTCATCATTATCATCAAGCTTCAAGCAAATAATCATAAGTACATATTTAAAGAAGATGATTGTATTTCGTTCTAAACGTATGCACATTCCTTCATCTGTTAAATAATAGTACAGGACACATCAAATCTGATGTAATTTGATCAATAAATGTAGAAGCAATATTTTGAATTTCGATTTGGTTAAGAGAAGTGTTCTTTTCGCAGATTTTCAATATTATATTGGGTGTGAGTGTGGCTGAGTCTTAAGTTAAACGACATCCAAACCCACACCGACACCCCTCAATTATCGAAATTCCTTAAATGCTCCAGCTTCCTGAATTTCTTGCAGTTTCATCAATTTATATACTGAAGCCTTGAAAATTAATTGATTCTGGATGTTTTCATTAGCTTATAAATATAAGTATATAGTACATGTTTACAAGCTTCTGTTCTTACAAATGTTAAAATTTTCATCAAAAGAGCGTAGAACCGTCTAATTTTTCTTTAAATACTAATTGTTGATTACCCTCAACGTCGATGTATAGAAAGAAAACAGACAAATTTTGAGAAAATCTAAATCTCATATTTTCATTCTCAACTTTATATTCTCTATCAGAACTCTTACTCAAAATATTACAAGTTAAAATAAAAAATTTGCTCAGAGTATTTGTTTTGGTAAGAGATTATTTTCTAATATTTTGAAAATTATTAAAACTGAATAGTAAATTTGATTCTAAATATGCATTTTACAGGACATAGTTTACTCTGTCTCTAAATAAATAACTTAAATTTTTCAGATTTTCTATTCGAACGTAACAGATTGATATTTCTCCAAGTACTTTAAGTCATTGTTTACATTATTACAGACAGATAGATAATTAAACTATTATTTTTGAATTACATAATTAAATTCAACTTTAGTATATTTATATGAAGAGATGCAAATGTCCCCGATTACTGTAATCTTAATGCACCATATAAAATAGTCTGATGATCCGGAGTGGTTCTAAACATGACGTTATCCATCACAGTAATCATTTTTGTATGTAAGATTCTTACTTTGCATCTCATCTTTGTCCTCATCTATCGCTGTGTCTTCAACTTCAGCCTTACCTTAGCGTTCTTGCCTCATTATCCGATTTAATGCATTATTTGAATTTCCAGGAAACTTATTTGAATTTCTGGACGGAGGTACAG